GCCTTAGACTTGGACTAGCATTGATATCGTTTTTTCTTACTTTCTCTCAGAACTCCACTGCAAAAATTGCCTTCGCACTTTTTCACATTTCATACGAAGTTTTTTTATGTCACGGAGTCATAGCTTATGTAATAGCAAGGATTGTTTACTATGCATAGTGGAAAATATTTTCTCTTAGGGTTTCCTCCGTGGGTTTTTATTAATTAATTAATTTATTTATTTGTTTTCGTCTTTCGTTTTTCGTGCGGTAGGATTTTTGATTGGTGCCTAGCCCTGCCTTCAACACTTTAACTCCCAGAAGTGATTAACATGTAACTTCTCCCTAAAATAGTCATTCATTATCCAGCAGACAGGTAATGAGAATACTCAAACCTTTCAGGAAGAAGTTGTCTTGATCTAACTCCAAATTCTCGTAACTAATTTACAAGGATATGTGTAGCAGCTAGGAGGGAGAATTAACAATCAGACCTTGAGAGTTAGGGGTTAAATTGTCCCTAAATGGAGGTTAGAATAGGCAAATATTGTATGAGAAAGTGAATAACTTGACAGGAATGTAACTCAGCTCATCTTAGTTTGTATTATGTGTGGCAACTTGACATCAAAGGGCAGATAATTCAGTCGGCAAATACAAAGTCACCACAAATGTTAATCTGTTTCTTTACATGTAAGTAATTAACCATTATGGTGTAAAATCGTTTCCGTCATTTTCTTGAGATAGCAATCACTTCGAGTGACATTTCTTTCCCACTGGAATCTTCAGGATTACATGTCTATTGAAAGAAGGCAGCGGGCTACAAGAAATAAAATCCAATCAACTAAAATTCCATCGAATAACGCTGCCGGCTTTCTTTGCTGATCACTGGAATGGTGGTTTAGATTATGTGTCAGATGTTAAGGAGCTCTCCAAGAGACCACAACACTGAACCAATTAAAGAAAATTGTGAATTATGTAATCACTGTGCTCGTCTCCCCAATCAAAGTGTTCTTAATCAATACATTACGACTTTCTTAACCTATGCATGTACTTTTTAAGGCGAAATGTGGCAAACATACCAAGAGCTGTCTGTTTCATAAACTGTTTCTTCATCGCAAGAGACTGAGTTAACTTCAACACTTTGACACTGAGACGAAATTAACAGACTAGATGTAGACAAGGTTTAGTGATACTGTTGAGGTCCTCTTCTTATTGACTGCATTCACAGCCAGCGCACTTTAGCTAATAATAACTCCACTACAAGCCAGGAGACTTGTGTTGATTATGTGCTCTCTTAAACTAGAATTTTCTTCGACTCAGGTGTAATAAAGCAACGACTTCTGGCCTGGCCTGTTCTGGAGTTTCTGTAGATAAACCGTGAACGATGGTAGTGCGACTTGTAAAAAGAACCTCTCTTTTTTTTGCGCTCTGCGCAAATGAACGCCCATTTTCTAAGTAAAAGCGTAGCACAGGATATACTTGTGGTTATATTCTGTCAACAAACGAACAATGACAAATCGAGAAATAAGATAATTGTCTCCTACATTATCTTAAAATTTTCATGGTATGGTGCCATACAGTGGGTATTAGTGCAACTAGTTCAGGATTTGCAGTATCTTCATGTCAATTTGACATTAGCGAACTTTCTAGTTAACAAAGTGACGTACATATATAGTAGATAAGCTGTAGATTATAGCCTGATCTTAGATCAATTTTAGTTTCTCCGATCGAAATCGGTCGACAAAGTTCCCTTTCAGTATTCTCAAATATAAAATTTGGAATGTATTAAAGGGATTAATTGAATGTATTTGATTACCTTGAGTCTCAATCGTTGTGGCTCTCAGCGGTGTATTGAGCCTGTCTGTCTCCGATGTCCTGTTGGGTTCTCACGAATGTCCTGTTTTCTATTATTCGTGAATTGGATTGATTAGATTTCATTAAATTTCATGGTGAGTTTCATCTTAACCGTGCACGAAATTCAAAGACAGCCACTGTACAATCCAAAGTACAGTTCAAAAACTACTTAGTTGAGGTGAAAGTTTAATATCTCACCAAAGTAGTGCTAAATGGCGTCTTTATCACATATCCCTTTTATACCCGGAATTATACTCGGGTGATTTATAGTTAATTCGTAGAAATACAAACCACTAAAGTAAATTGGCTCTCTTCACTTCAGGAATGCTCTTAAATCTATTACGTTAACTCACAATACAATATTGACTAAGACGTTCGCGACTGAAAAAAATTTCTGGAACGTGCGTGTGTCCTACTTCGGTATATCAGTCCAGTTGTGGACTTCTTTAGCAGTCAATAAGCTTCTCTACATAGCTTTCATAGGCGAAAAGTAACCTTCCCACTAATTAGTCGGGATTATAAAAAGACATTAAGATAATTACAAGTCTTTTATCTGATGGTATTTCAAAACCGGCAGTTTGTGGATCCCTAAGGTAATTACTATCGATTGGTGTATAAAGTTTGCGTGGCTGAACTCAAGTATGTTAATCCTATTAATTTTGTACTTCAAATATTTAAAGTAGTTTGTTTGAAGAACCACTGTGGGTAGGCGTTGTCGTAAAACTCAAATAATTGCTTTTTCTCCAGGCTTAAAAGGTTAAGTCAACAAAAAAGCAACTTGATAATGAGTCACGTCAAATTCAACAGACAAGTCTAAACTAAACATTGTACTCATTCCTTAATCCCCCCTCCCAAAAAAACAGACATTTTGAATATGACAAAAAACCCTTATATTACAGTTACTTTTTCCAAAAGATGCACATTTCTGGAAAACTATGACTTGCGCGCGTTTGCGTCACCTTCGCAGAAGATCATAATAGAGAGAGAGAAAAGACATTCGGTGGTTAACTTGACATTGGAGGGAGTTTTGTAATTTAGTCCGCGATACCTGGAGGTTTTAGATTTTGCTGATATGACGGTAGTTTTGACATCGGATTGGCTCATACAGACTACATTTCGATATTTATCAAAACAAGACCTGATATTGCTTTGACAAATAGGGAAACTTATCTCAAGGGCTTGCTATTTCTAGTAAACAAGACCAGGGGAAACTCGTCAGTATATCGTTTCACTCTGTCAAAAGTTTTATCTCCTGTGCACGAGATAGTATAGTCCTAATTTGGAGTTTAATCACGTAACTATCGATATACTTAGACTGTCTAGTAGATCAGTATTGGGGGTAGATATCGCATATGGAAGACTTTGCCAAGTAACTCCGCATAGCCTGGATCATCTTGATATATTCGGAGATCACGCAATATGAGCGATGTCTTGTAGGAAAGGAACACATCACAACTGCACGCGAGCTCGGAAACCAGTGATTTCACCTTATTACAATAGTGCATCCATTCCATTGGGATATTTTGGCACAACTATAAGAAGGAGACCCGTTAGTTTTGGCTTCGAAAATCCTTTCCAAAGTCGAAGAAATTTCACAAACAGTCGAGAAAGATGGAGACAGCATCATGTCAACATGGCCTTTGGTGAGCTGAGAAAACTTCTTCCAACTTATCCACCAGACAAAAAACTCTCCAAGCACGAGATTCTTAAACTAGCTATGAAATACATCACGTTTCTGAGTACTGTGTTAAAAGACATGGATTCAAAAGAAAGTGGAATTTGCTCTGATTTTGTTGTGGATTCTGAACAATGTTCTCCGAGTTCGAGCTGTGAAACTCTTGGTAGCGATGGAGGTTTGTCTTCCACCTTGAATTTAGAACGTGTCAGTGTTGATTCACTTACATCAGAAATACGGATTGAAGAAGCCGAATGAAGGTCAGAGAAAAAACACATGAAAATATCAAACCAAGCTGGGTGTATGATCAGGAGAAACTAATTTGTTGCTATAAATTTAGACAGAGAGAAATGTTTGTTTTGCGATAAACGAGCGCATTTGCTCAAGTGGAAAACGAAAAGCGTAGGATCTACTACAACTCGAGTGTTTTGTTTGTTAATCGAAACCGTAAACACGGAAATCGGTTGAAGGTGTAAGATGTCCAGGTTATTTCTGAAACTTATCATCGAAAGAAAAACAAACTAACACGAAATCTGAATTACAAAGTGCTGCATCGTTGAATGATATTCTCCACCACGATCATGGTATTGGAAACGTCTTGCTAACTTTAAAACACTCGTCTTTAGTTGCCCGTGAAACGTTAAATTAAGTGGTTTTTCCGGAATCATTCAGTTTTTATAACACGTGCGTTACAGCAATACACATATAAATAAGCATTTTGGGTCAATAGCAAATGATATCCGACTTCTTTTTTCGTTATCAAACTATAGAGATTTCTTATCACAGATTAGTCCAAGCTTTACACCTGACTAAAGAACCTATGAAAATCACTTTCGGTTTTCAGTTTTGCGCGTATTCTGTCTGTTTAAAGAGATTTTCATTCACCCTTACACTTATTGCGTTGTACTTTGTGAAAGGAGCTTTTGATAAACAACGATTCTAAACTTAGCTCAAAAAGGAAAACAAAGTTCGGAAAAGTACAGGCCGAACGCCAAGAATATTTTACTGATAACCTTAAGTTCAAGAATTTCCAAAATGGGAATTACCTATCTTCCAGATTGATTTCTTCGTACGCATCTTGTATACATTTAACACTTGATTAGGAAGCCCTGTAATAAATCAGAGCACCTTGAGAATCACAAATTGTAAATCATAGTGAAAAGTTTTTAAAAATCTTGATGATCAGTACAACAGACGTGTTGGTATTGTCAGCTTGCAACTAATGTTCCCTCTTTCGCAAACCGCCCTCTTACCGCTTTTAATTACTTAAACATTAATTAATGGTAGTTGTCAACAACTTTAATTAAGAGATAGGCTAGCATATTGCTTCTCTCACTCATTCCAGATTTTTAAATCTATCTGAAACATAAGGAGGTAAATCAAGACGAACAAACTGAATTCATTCAAACCTATTCCAGATTTTGATGATGAGAAAGTAGAGAGAGAGACCGAGTTGAGTCAGTCGTTGTTGTAAAATAACCACACAGGTTACGTTACGGAATTTTCAGAGAGTATGGATCTCCACCACACATAGACAACAGACAGTCCCTTCTTTTCAGCGAAATTTACCAGAATCTAACCAAATTTACAATTCCCTGACCCGCACAGTTACATGTTTAATTATAGTAAGAAATGATTGAAATAATTAAGTCTTTTCTGAAATCGTGTCAGTTTTAGACAACATTTCCTTTGCAGATGATGTCCGTGTTCAGTACTTAATTGTGATGTTGTTTGTAGAAGTTTGATCATAATTGTTTTCTACTTTGTAAACAGTGAGTTCAGATCAGGAAATTGCACAATTCTTCACATTCTTTTCTTTGCTATTTTCTGGCACTAAGGTCAAAAGGTCTGGGACAATCTGCCATAATGATGGTACGACCTGTTGAGTTTGAAAAACGCAACGCAACCATGTGTTTTCTTTACAAGTAAAACTAATTGAAGGTCATTTTCTTTAATTTCCTATTAAATCATACTAACGCCAATTCAAACAATTGAAACATGAGTTCTCCTAAATGCAACAACGTTATTGTAAGCCACAGTTCATAATGCAGGTTAAGGCTTTTCTCTAGTTTAACAGGATGAAGGAAGAGCAAAATTGTATGGGATGCAGATGTTATTAAGTTCTTACATTACATTTCCGGAAACATCCATGGTCTCTAATAAATAACTTTCTGGCCTTAGTTGTTCAAAGGTCGGATAACACTATCCACTGAATAAATCTCTATCCGGTGGATAACACTATACGTTTTGTTATCACTTATAGCGATTTATACGTCGGATAGCGTTATCCACCCTTTATACAACTGAACCCTGGTCTATAATGCGTTTTTATTAGATATAAGGATGTGCTACAATGAAGCTTGCTACCAAGAAGAAAATTTGGTTGCTGAGACAACTCTGCAATCTTAACACACGGTGGGGGTGATTTTGCAACAAAAACTACAAAGGTTTCAACTTCTGATAACAAATTTTACCAATCAAAGACAGTACTTCACAGCTTTCAGCAAAAATGCTAAAGACGACTATCAGAAACTTGGAAGCAAATGATACACAGCCACCACAAGGTCATGGTTAGCAATTTGTAAGAATACTATTTTTTTCTTGGATTTTTCTAGGTACTTGTTCAGTTGTACACTCTTCAAAGTACTCCATGCTCTGAAACTTAAGCACCTGGTGATAAGAAATGAAATCATTTTTTCAAATTTAATTGCAAAGAGGAAAAGCAAGGCTATCCATTAAAGACTAAAAATAAAATTCATTGTATGGGGAAAGGGAATTTCTATTTTGAATGACTCTTCTTGATATTTTGATGTTCACCTTGACAGGATCCAAACAAAGGAAGAATACTTTTCAAATTAAGACAACCAAGAAAAGACAATGACAGTATTAAGTACAGTAAAATGAGGTAAAAAACAAACAGACTTGCGCACTGTAAGGTAGTTGTAACAAAAACATCAAAGAGCTTGAGTGATTACCTCATTCCCCCAGCTGGTCCAGTGAGGAGTTAGATTTCGAGCAAACATTTCCAGACATAATGAATTAGGTGGCATGTACTTTGAAAAGATTTCTGATGAAAGAAAAACAAAACAAAAACAAGGTTTAATAAATTGTAGATAAGAATTGGTACACTGTATGTGGTCATTACTGTGGAAAACATATAATATAGTCCTCTATGTAAAATATTATGAAAGGATGTAAGATGTACATTGTAACTGTCCTTTACTCAAAGGCATCTTTAACTAAAATAAGGCCTACCAGGCAATATAATGACCATATACACACATTCCTATTTGCTTAGATCAAAGAAAAAAAAATTTAAAAAAATCTTTTTTAATTTTATTGGCAAAAAGTGTCCTTGGTATTTAAATTTGTTGGCTGGACACATATCTTTTCATTAGTTTTCTGAAATTTTATGATATGAAAGATGAAAAAGAAACTGGGAATATCTAAAACATTATTTAGCTTCATGCTTCAGTTCAGTTTTTCCATAGAGTGTACTCTATGAAACATATCTGCTGTACCTGTGGTAGTTATCTTGAGGCAGCTATACATGAGTAGATTAGTGCTTTTAACAATTTATAAGTTAGGAGAAGTTTAGCTCACCATGCAGAGGAGGCTTCCTGGAATGAATCTTACAAGGAACACTGCATATGATCTGATGATAGGGTAACAACTCACAAGGTTTAGAATCTGGCTCTAGCTCTTTAGGTTCTGATTGCTCACTTGAGATTTTCAAACTATTTTTCATAAAACCAATACTGCCTTTCTGCCCCTGCTCCTTAACCTTTTGCATAGCTTGTTGTTTCTGCACAACCTCAGTTGGACTGTTCAAGCCCTGTGTGATGTCCATTTTATCTTCATGATATACTCCTTGACAATTTAACCAACAATTTCTAGGATTCTGAACTCCTGTTTCACAATGTCTACTGTCTTGACTGGTGATTTCCCCAACTGATTGATATATTGATGGTGGATTCCACTCAAGTGAAATTGCCATAGCTGTATTTTTATTTATATCACAGGTGTTTTCTTTCCTGATATCATCATCATTATCACTGATCTTTTTCCTTTTAGTTGGAAGTGAAGATTCATTGAGAGATCCCCTATCAACAAAGGCTGATTCCATCTCCTTTTCAGAAGAGTTTTTCTTATTATTTATGAGGCAACAAGATGACCTTAGACCATCCATCTTTGGATTAAAACGTCCTAATAACAGTGGCTCATATGGTTTTTTATGAGGTGAATCTAAATCAGTCACCAGTTCTCCTTTTCTTGTTACTTTAACCCAGTACCACTCTGCCATTAGCTCCATGGACCAATGAGGAAAGAGCTCTGTCCTTGTAAACCTTAAGTACTTCTGTTTGTTGGTAACCCAGATCCCCACCAGAGCACCAGGGGCAAGAAGGCAAGGGACTGGAAGTGATTTTATTTGCCATAATGACATGAAGGAATACCTTGAAAAGATATATAAAATTATGTAAAGATTAACAAAATAAGACTTCAAGCCATACTAGGTTGATGAAGGCCTGGCTGAGGGAAGAGGAGTAATGAGTAAAGTAAAGTATGGTTAATATTTTATTTTGGAAGGATAAGGGGCTTTTTCTCTCTCCATTCAGTAATGTTGTATGACTGTTAAACTTAACTCTTTCCAATTTAGGGAGCAAGCTTGATCCAGAATGGTGCACAATTTTTTGGTCAGGGTTAGCCATGAAAAAAGAAAAAATGAAAATCCTCTCACTTTGAGCCACGCTTTGCAGATTTGTTGAACCATGGAGGATCCAACACCAGCAAGTTATAACCTCCATAGCATTGGGCTGTTGAGGATGCAAATGATAAATATATGTCTGAGTCATTACTAAAATATTGAAAAAGCCACTGCTTTCTTTTGACCCTTTCACTCCCAAGATCTCACTTGTAATTCTCCTTACTGTCTGCCATACTATTCTTATGATGTTAGTTTAGAGAACTTGGTATTAGATCAACCAATAATCATCCAATTTATATTTTTCTTTATTCTCATCACTGGTCTGCTTGAATTTGTATTGATATTGTAAGGAGAAAGTCTGACTTTTTTTGACTGAGTGAACAGCAAGGATCGAAACGCACCAATCAGAGCTGTTGAAAAACAACTAATCACAGCAGAGCATCATGCTTTATGAGATCATGCATGACCAGTCAACCTTATTGCCTGAAGAAGACTAGCAGTATGCAGTTGAAATGTTGTGATCTACATCATACGTGACTACATCGTAAGACAAACAAAAAACTTAGCTTTTATTGTTACGTCTGACCTGGTCACCAAAGGGAGTTATAGACTGAGTTAACTAGGGTTAACATATCATGGTTAAACTAACCATAATTAACAAGAGGTCCTAAGTTCTGTGCATCAGACATCAAGAAGTTGCAATCTGCAGGTAAAATGTATTTCTCCCCAGATACATTCAAAACTGTGGGTTTGCTACCAGGGTAATAAATGATACGGTTCAACAGAGACTTTTCACTTCCAGCGAAATCACCTTTGTACAAGAGAGACATGGTTAATTATTTATCAATTTTCTCAACAGGTAATATCTACAAAACTATTAACATGCTGTAATATTATATCATCTAACTTACTTTCCTAAAACAAAGACAACAACATTCATTTTGGGCCATTAGAGAGCTTGTGAAAAGGAAGGAGGTACAGTTGAACCTGTATTAAGGGGCACTGTATGAAGTAGTCACCTGTATTAAGGGGTTGATTTTCAAAGTCTTAATAACTAACTGTAATTTTCACCTCTATTAAGCAGTCATGGTCACCCTTTATGAAGTCCTAATGGCCTGTTTGTATTGTTCTCCACCTTTCAGTATCAAATGATCACTTGAAGTATATCCTCTCAAATAAAACTAAGAATAATCTTTCAAGTAAAATTTAATCCCTGTTTATCTCCAAAAATTGATGTTAGTGGTGTTTTTGAGTAAGGTTTGTTAAACTATGCGGTCAATTATGGCAAAACATGGTGTATTTATCATTTCCTTTAATACTCCTACTCTGTGGAGCCTGTATTAAGCAGTAAATCAGTAAATTAGTATTGAGCGGTCACTCTGTCATTAATGGTAAATGACTGCTTAAGATAGGTATTGACTGTACTTCCAGAGGATAATTATCTGGCTGCATTGTCTGATTAGCTTAACCCTTTAACTCCCAGAAGTGATCAGTATGGAACTTCTAAAATATCCATACATCATCCAACAAACAGTCAACAAGATTACTCAAACTTATCTGGTAGAAGTTGTTAACTTAAGCTAACAGCAAATTATTGTTACTGATTTACAGGGAAATGTTTAGCAGCTGGGGGAGAGAATTGTTGTGATCCAGGAGTCATAACTGGTAATTGTTGAGTTGTTTAAACACACCTTTGAGAGGATAACATGCATTTTTAAAACAATAAATAACTGTGGAAATGAAAATTAAGTCTTGGATTAACAATTTACAAGAATAACAAATAACCTTTGATGATTAAAGGTTCCAAATGATCACTGGACAGACATCTGCTGTGACTTTGAACATCAGTTGACAGTCCAGAAAAGTGCTTGCAATCAGTCAAAGCTAGTTCTGTAAATTCAAAACTATTTTAAAAACTTTTAAAGGGTAATAAACCTTACAAATTGAGATCATTTGTCAATAAGGAGGACAGCACTTTAGTCTTCATCAAGAATTGAATTTAAATAATGCCTACCAGTCACAGATGTTCTACTTAAAATATAATGCTAACTTGTTAGAAGTTAAGCTCATAGATGTAAGTGGCACTTCTGTCATGAAGAACTTGTTTCAGTCATCCTTAATGATCTCCTTTCAATTGGCAATTATATATTGATGTGTCAAAATTTGTTTCAACAGTGGCAAGTAGATCTTGGAGATTGAAGCATTTAGAAGAGGTCACAGTTTTGCTGGTAGAGACTGTCTAACTAATTGACTAGTTCTATTGTGGTGCAAAGTTTACCTGACTCTAAATTACTTTGTTCACTAAGATCATTTTCAGGTAGAAAATAGCCCATATCCACACCAATGCGCACAAGCTTCTCTGTTCCTGTTGAAATTGTGTCTTTTATCTGAATTAATCAAAGATTAATAGAAACAATGAGGCTAAAAGCTTTGGTGTAAGATGTTGTAAACATTTTTGTGTGTCAGTGGTTTTCATGGGAAATGCTGAGGCTTAATGTTTGGTGCACAATTCACTGGACTTAGGGGGTCTGGGTTTTAATCTCCAATGGGGTCATTGTGTTGTGTTGTTGGGCAAGACTTGTAAACACCAACCTGCCCCACCCTGAAAATTGTAAGAGAGCCACGCAAAGTGTTAAGTGGAGGGAAGGGGGAGGGGGTAACCTGAGATGGACTGGCATCCTACCAAGGTGTGAATAGCAGAACTCCCAATCAGTTCAAATGCTGCAGCATTCAGCAGTTGAGGGGGATTCAACCTCTGAATGCTGAGCACCCTTCTATCAATAACCATTTCTTTGAAACTCTCTCTACCATTTCTTCAGTTTTACCTCTTCACTGCCACCAAAGGCTCTTTTAAGGTTGAGAGATTGAAACTTTCACATCTTAGTATACTAAGTTTTTAAACTTTTTTTATCAACACTTTTTTATGGAAATCCTCAATTTGCTACTCAGAGTTGTATTTGACGTTCAAATCCTTTGTTTATGTTTTCAAACCTAGTATACTCATCTCGGAAAAGCACTTTTCCAGGATGGAAACTTGACATTGTTCTTTAAGGTGCTTGTCTTTGACAAAGGCAACTCGACTATAACTTATTTTTTTTAATTTGAACAACACCACACATGTACATGTTGGATAATTTCCATTGCCATGCGGGAGGCTACAACAGAGTACTGATTAAGATGATTCTTTTTTTTCCTCAAGAAAGAACATGGGAATGGTGATGATGTTTACCAACAGAGGCAGAATCCTGTTTGTCTTTTTATATTTAATAATGGACAGCGTGAGCAAACTTGGCATGTCGAGGGTTGGGAAGTTGAATGTTTACCTTGCCATGGTGTGCAGCAGCATCTAATTCTTCCTCTGTACGAACAACTTGGACAGATTTCTTCCGCTACAAAGGTAACTGCAAGTAAGTCACTATCTTACAGAAGGTTACGATTGATAGATGAACGGATCAAAATGAATCAAAACACGACGGAGTCGGATACAATCACTATAACAACTGTATTGTGCAAACTTCTAAAATGAGAGGATTACATTTACTTTGAGTGTTTCCTGGTGGGTGACTATTTCACATAAAAACAAACGTTACAGAGCTTTCATCGTTGTGCAATTCTTGATTTTAAAAATTAAGGTTCGTCAGATTATCTCAGACTGCTTTCGCTGTTTCCCTGATCTCAAAACTTGCATGTACCTTTCTCTTTTTTGATCCCGATGAACTGCTGTTCGTTGAAGTTCTAAAATAAGGCTCGTAAAGAGCAAAGAAAGCTTCTTTACACGACAATGACAACGATGAAACTGATTCAGAGATACTTTTCCTGTGATCGACGAGAAATCCACATTCACATTGTCCGATCACAGCCATGTTTGCTGATCGCCTTATTGGACCGTCTGTTTATCATCAAGATTGGAACCTGGGTCCGAAGGACGATAAGTTTTGTAGCAAGGGCTGGGTGGTACAATTCTCAGCCTGATATTTTTCCGATTTCTGGCAACACAGTAGGAAAGATTTCTTACACAGAGATCAACGATAAATTTCCTATTAAAACATCTCGAAATTCAAAGACAGCCTTCGCACCTTTCAAATCACCTTCAGAGCCACTTTCCCCACCCCCACTTGTTTACAACTGACTTCTTGACAACCTTTACTTTCTCAGACTTTTAATGATACCTCATAAAACGTGTACACTTCATTATTTCAACAGAATTTCAATACAGATCCTCTGAAAAAAGAGTTGCATGGGTGATGTGAAAAACTCAGGACTTGTTGTGGGTAATTTATGCAGTGGGATGAGGACGAGATAATGTTTAAAATTAATTATACATTCACGTTTGTCCCACACTTCAGGTAAGTGTGGCATGTGGTTTGTTGCGCTTCTCCGAACAGAAACCCGACGTATGCCACTTACTTCTGCGCTCAGAACCAATTCAAAAAATATTTTCAAGCCGAATGTTCCCTTCTCTAAAGTTCGGGAGCCGAATTTGAAGAACTGAACGAATTTTGGCAGAATAGATAAGACTTGAGACGAGGTAAGCGAATGAATCACTGTTTGGAGGGAGTTGTTGTTCAAGATGCTAACGTAAGTTTTCTGACTTCGTTTGCATTATTCGCTGCTTTTGAATAAAGTACCTCGGCTGTTGTATTACCCTGTCCAAAGCTATTTTATCTATGTAAGCTTTACATCGTCAACCACTCGGGTATGTCTTTTCCCTTTCGGAGCAAGACCTTGTGCCCTAAAGTTTAATTGATTGGTAAGAAACCACTAAGGCTTACGAAGGTTTAATAGACTTAAAATGAGATATTCGTTCATCTTTAAGTCTCAACGTTGCCTAAAGTTAATGAAGAAATCTCTTGCGCAATCAAAGGAGCTCTGTTCGTTGCATTAATTGCATGCTCTGTTTGTTCAGGGCACTTGATCACTGCAGTAGAATTTATCACATAAGGCATATGAACCCAAAAGTTAAAAACAAACATTGGTTATCTTGTTTACGTTGGTTTATTAGCGATTTAACCTTTAATAGTTTGCAAATTATAACAGCCGAACTACATCATATGATAGAGACTGAAATTACTAATTTACAAAATAAGTTATTCTCGTCTTATTTCTTTAAATTTGTCATCGCAGGAATCGAAGCAAAACAACCACTATGCGAGGTCAGCAAAGAGAAGAGAGATCCCTCTAATGAAATGTAAGTATCTCTCACTTTGTAACTTGTTGGATTGTTTCTGAAAATTTGATTTTACAAGAAGAAAAGGTGATCCATTAAAGCAGTTAACGTAATAGAAATCTCGTTGTGCTTTTCTTCTCCTATGACTCGACAGCGGCAATTGAATGATTTTTCCTATTTTTGGTCAATTTTAGGGTTTTGCTGTCCTTTGTAACTGTGAGGGAAAAAAAAGCATGCGGACAGTGAAAACGGCAGGCAAAGGTGAGATATAATCACTGAGAAATTCGTGCAGGGAAAATTTGCAAAACAAATTTTATGCAAAGTGAAGCCCGGATAGAAGTTCCGGGATTACTTTCTTTACTACTCAAGACCCAAAAAAAAAAAAATGTATGAACTGGTATTTTCAGAAAGGTATATGCTTCTATGAGTAAAATGAGAAATCCCTGTCCCATTGATTTTGTTTCGGTGATTAGTCCTTCATTGATGGCGAGCGACGTGTAATGAATCAACATGTTAATTTACAGGGTCCAGGGAAGGAAATGACAACTGGAGGATCAGAAACTTGAAAAGGAGGATTGGAAATGAATGGGTTCAGAAAGAAATAGTTTAGAGAGATGCAAGAGGACTTAATTAAACGTAGGTTGCTCAATTTTTTAATTTGTTAGGATTTAGAGCATGCATACAGTCAATGACAATGAAGGCAAAGAGAACGTTTTGGCCAAAATCAACTCGACTTCTATTGTTGCTCGACGTCATAGAATTATATTCCTTCTTTATTTCTTTCCGAACCAAATTTATAGGTATGGCTATAAAATATTCAATCCATGTGAAGTCAATGTTACAGACGTTTTCTCTGCTTTCTTTTTGTTGTTGCTAAATATCAGGAACAAGTTGTTTCAAAGCGTATTCTCAAACAAACGGGTACTTCTGGCATATCTATCATTTTTTTTCCTTTCATCTCGACTTCAACCAGATTACCATATGATTATTCAACACTTAACAAAGAGAAAGAACGATTGATAGATTAAAAATAAATTTGAAATTAAAGAATGAAACACAAAATGGATAAGCGATTTTTTCCTCCGAGGATTCTTAAATTCTACCGAAAGAACCTGCTTTGAAAATTGGTTCCTGATATTTATTTAAAATGCTCAGAAACGAAAAGGGGCCTGGTTGCAAGCTAAAAAAGAAATCACTTCTATCTCACCTATCTGTTTAATTCCAATTGGACGAGGTTGAAGAATTTCTCTTGGACGATTTATTCATTTTGATAGAGCAGTTTTCAATTGACTATCTAAAAAACCCAAACCAAAGTAATCACGACGGACAATTGTAACAAACGTTTACTTCATCATTAGCCAATGAGCACTCAAAAGAAAAACGGGCAAACTATCAAAAACGCGGGAAAACGCGGGCGACCAGGTCACGATTAGTTTACGTTTTGCGTCTGATTGGTTAAGAGGATAGCGCCGGTTTTGCTGACCAATCACAGACCGAATGGATGCAAAATCTCCAAACTTCAAGTCGATAATCAAATTAGTCAATCTCATTGGTATTTTATAGGCAGTTTGCTCTCAGGTCCCTTCTCGTTTCTGAATTCCTCTTAGTGTAGTGTATCTAATGTTTCTACTGTATTTTTGGACTGGAGAAGTTGACAAAGAAATTGATCGAAATGGAAAAGGAAGTAATCACAGCATGGCGCATTTCACTTGGTTTCTAAAAAAGCCTTTTTTTTCGCAAGATTTAGCACGTCATTGGTTTTTTTTATCGATTTCTGCTTTGTTACGAATGGATGTTTGACACAAAGAATGATTGGCTTAAATGTGTTTGAGTTCGATCAAATTACATTTTGAAAGCCTCAAGATAAATTTATCACTCCAGATTACTTCCGAGATGAAAAGACCAAACATAATTAGTAATCAAAGTAAATTACGTTTTGTTTGAGCTGGAAGATTTTCAAAGTCATGGTTTTTTTTCAAGTAGCAATGGATTATTTTTAATCAAGAAAGCAGATTTTGAATTTAAAAATAATATTTCTTACTTGATTAGGATATTAGGTTGCTTATAATCAGAAACTGCTCAGAACAAAAACCGAAAGTTTATTTGATAAAATGATAAATTATAATCAGAAGTTGATTAGAACTTTGGAAGTGTTTTCGGGTACTTAAACCTTAGAGAGAACTTAAAACTGTTTCATCTCCAACAATTTACTCTTAGCCATAAGTCGTTAGTCGTTCCAATGTTAATCAATCCAACCCCCCCACACTCCCCCCCCCCTCTAATGTTACAGTACGTTAGGAAGTCATCCTAATTGCAGCATAAAATCGGCTTTTCAAAACGTCCAGTCTTGTGTTCTTTTAAAAAAATTGTTTCATAAACTTAGCGATACTGTTTGGGACGCTAGTTATACGTTTTGGTAGAGAAATTACGGACATCCTGGACCTCTGGTTCACACAGAGGTTTTTTTTATAATCCAATTAACAATGTAGGTGACATTTTGAAAAGTTTGGTTTGCTGGGTATTTGAAGAGCCCAGCCGCGTGACAAACCACTCCGCCACTTCTGAAGATAACGCTTTTGTACGACGAAACTCTTACCCACTGAGATGACTGAAACACCCGTTAAGCCACGCACGACTACACTGATTATTCTGCACACTAAGTAAGCTTTTAATAGCATTTCGCGTATCATGCAACCCTACAATTGGAGTGTAATTCGCAGACTGAACAAATGCGATAGCGTTTACTAAGAGAAGTTGGAGATAAGGACGAACTAATTTAGCCAACAGACAGTTAAAAGAACTTAACACCTCGACACAAAACTAACCAAACGCCAGCTTGTGACCGACGAGAAATGTTGATGTTAACAACCACTGACACTTAAAAACGCCAATTTTGCAATTTGTTATACTTTCTCGAGTGACAAGGGGTAACTTTTTGAAAACGACATTTTCAGTTGGGAGAAATTCCCGGTACTTTTTAAGAAAGGCTGTAGCTTTTTCTGTCAGAGAAATACTTCTCTTAGTATAATGATCAAAAGGGATTTTCTATTTGTAGCGGCAATACATTTTCGAGCAGAACAGTAATGAGAAGAAAGAAAATTATCACCTTAAGGATATTGTTTGATTTAACACCAATTTCTTGGGGCAAAAATTATAAGAAATGTATGACAGACAGCGAAGAGAATTTATACTTTGATCTTGGAAGTGAAAGGTTATTCAGGTTTGAAACTCAACTAAAGGTATTTTGCTTAGAAAACTGAAACTGGAAAAATTAACAGCTGCACTCAAGTAGTTTTGATGAAGAAATTGAGGGGTCTTTGCAAATGAAAAAAATTTATACAAATGTGAAATATCCAAGACTTGACGTTAATGCGCAAAATCAACAAATATTAAATAGAAATCAAACTTTTTCCATTTCAAACAATTTACTTTCCAGCTTTGAAAGGCTTTTCGAGAAAATTTGGACATGAATTTCATAAGGATTTATTCCAATTTAAGACAGCTTCTGCTGCTTCTAGAAATTTTTTCAGATGAATTATTACAACAGCAGAAAACCCCGGTGCAAACTTTTAAGTGAACTTACTTTGGAGAAGGAATGAGTTAGATTTCCTTTTTTTTCCCTCAATTATTAGCGAAGAGTCAATTTCCCTTTTTTTTAATTTATCTTGAAGTACAGGAGGAAAATTTTCTTTGAGTTGCAAATAACAAAAGC